GTTTGTTGTGTGTCTATGTGTTGTGTGTATGTGTGTTGTGTATGTGTTATGTCTATGTGTGTATCTATGTGTATATATGTGTGTTGTATGTATATCTCTGTGAACAAGTTTTATGTGTTCGTTGTATGTAAATGTGTTTGTGTGTATGTGTGTGTTGTGTATATATGTATGGGTGTGTGTGTTTGTATGTGTGTGTATGTGTTGTGTGTGTATATGTCTGTGTGTGTAATGCGAGTATTTTGTATCCTAGAAGCAGCAAACAACAGTAGTAATAGAGGTAGCAGTGTCAGTAATGAAAGGGTGGGTAGACATAGAAGACTCTAATAATGATTGTTTAGAAATTGTATCTATACCATAGAAGTATGATGCACTAACTTCCTTACCTTGCTATGTTGTTCAGACTTTAAGTAACCCCCAAAGACCATATGTTACAGGCTTTGACCCAACGTGCTGCTATTGAGAGGTAGCAAAACCTTAGAGGTAGAGCCTTTTTTGGCAGTCCTTAGATTATTGACTTCTTGTCTCTGAAGGGACTAGTGGGTTTTTCTACTTTCTAGCCAGAAGACAAGTGATTTTTAACCCTATACACACTGTGATATGATGGGTTGCCTCACTGTAAGCCCATGTCAATAGGGCCAAATGACTGTGAACCAGAACCTTCAAGACTGTCAGCCCAAACAAATTTGCTCCTTTTTACATAGTCTCAGGTGTTTGTTATTTTGACAGAAATTCGACTAGTGTGTATTTCTGGAAAATGGAGTTTTTGAGGAGCTATTTTTTTGTCACAAAACTTGCTAGAATCCAGTTTTAAAAGGCATAAGTTATTTGCTCTCATAGTTATGTTTTGGCCACTTGGGCTGGTCCTCCAGTGGCTGCAGTCATGACAACCAACTGAGGCCAGAGCGAGGGCCACAGTTGCATGTCTGGACGTTGGTTCTCCCTTCTGGCTGAGTGTGGTCTCTCATCTTCATACAACTTAGCCCAAGCTTTCTCATTTGGGCAGCAGGGATCTGAGAGTAGAAGTCCAGAGGCTGTGTGTGTCTGAGGTTCTGAAGTCTTAAGGTGTTCTTCTGTCTCATTCTGCTCTTTAGGGCAAGTCCCAAAGCTAGCCTTTATTTAAGAGTGAGAGGAAGCAAACTCTATTGAAGGTAGAGGGGCAAAGTGATGGTGCAAAGAGGCACACGCAGTAACACCAGAAGAGTTAGAACTGTTTGTGAAGAGTTAGAACCATCTGTGTACAGTTAGAACCATCTGTGAAGAGTTAGAACCATCTGTGTAGAGTTAGAACCGTCTGTGGAGAGTTAGAACCATCTGTGTAGAGTTAGAACCATCTGTGAAGAGTTAGAACCGTCTGTGTAGAGTTAGAACCATCTGTGAAGAGTTAGAACCATCTGTGTAGAGTTAGAACCATCTGTGAAGAGTTAGAACCATCTGTGTAGAGTTAGAACCATCTGTGTAGTGTTAGAACCGTCTGTGTAGAGTTAGAACTATCTGTGTAGAGTTAGAACTGTCTGTGAAGGTTGGCTTTCATCAACCCATCACAAGTGTATCTTCTTGGAAGAGGAAAGAGCAAATGAAAAATGTCTCCATAACATTGACTTGTGGGCAAGTCTAGGGGCCATTTTCTTAATCCCTGATTGATGTGGGAGGGCTCTGCTCACAGTGGGTGGCACCACCTTTGGGCAGGTGGGCCTGAGTTGGGTAAGAAATCAAAGTGGGCAAGTCATAGGGAGCAAGCCAGAAAGCAGCATTCCTCCGTGGCTTCTGCTTCAACATCTGTCTCCAGGTCCCTGCCTTGAGTCCCAGCCTTGACTTCGTCTCATGATGCATGGCGATTTATTCCCCAATACCATTTATTCCCCAAGTAGTGTTTGGTCACGTTTTTAAGCAAACTGAAACACCATCTTTGTAAACTGTTAACTGATGGCCTGACAGGATGAGGCTATTTCTCGTGTCATTAGCACATGCTATGCCATGTGATCTCAGATCTATAAAAAGTAGTATGTCCAACTCAGTCATGTGCATGACATGTTGTAAGTTCAATGAAGACAGGAATAAGGGAAAATACAGATTGGTCCAGAATTCTGATGTGTTTATCTGTTGTCATACTATTATATTGTACTTATTCCAAGGGAATGTTGGTAACTGGTTATGTGGACCAAGTGGTCAAACATATAGAACTATATAAATACAAATTTCCCTGCTATCTGGGGAGGAAACGCCAGGAAAATCACTAAAGACTCTCTCTTTTGAAAAGCTGAGGTGAAGCCCAATGAATGGGCTACACAGAAATTGGCAAAACTGGGCCCATAGCTGTGTATTCACAGTTAAGCTCTGCTTACAAGCAGTGTGTGCAGTTCTGTGTTAAAAGATCAAAAAGAAAACAGGTACTTACCATGATGGTTTTCAGGGACTTGGTGTCAAAGAACAGTACCTGACTTGTGGATGCTCTTTTCTGTTCTGTACTCCATAGGCACCATTTAGCTTAGCTGGCTTCTCCTTGAGTATGTCAGCAACACCCGGTGGCTACTGAGGAAGTGAGAAAAGAGTCGCCATTTTAGCAGGGAGGTGATGCTTTGCTTGGGCTGTTTCTTCTACTTGGGCTCGATCTGGTTTCATTTCTGTTGTGGTTACAAAACACTCGAACACAAATCAGGAGAAAAGAAGGGATTTGATTTAGTTCAAAATTCCAGGTTATAGTCCACAGTTACAGGGAAGGTTACAGTAGGCAGGAGGGCAGAGACGCAGATTACAAGGCATCCACAATCATAGGCAGAGAGAAATGAATGGATACACACACTCACCAGCTTGTGCTTAGCTCAGTTTCTCCACTCTCAAACAGTTTAAGAACCTCTGCCTAGGGAATAGAGCTGCCCACAGTGGGCTGGGTTTTACCAGACCACTTAATTAAGATAATCCCCAGAGGTCAAACCAATATAGATAAACCACTACTAAGACTATCTTTCAAGTGATTCTAGGATGTGTCTAATTAACAACTAAAGCTGTTCACCCTGCCGCTGAACTGACTTACATCATTACTGAAGCTCCCCTTCCCCTCTTCCTCCTGCTCTTCCTCCTCCTTCTCTGACTCCTCAGATCTGTCTTATGGCAGAGAAAGGCAGCCATGTCTTCCTTGGTGTAGCTGTGAATGATGCTTCTCTAGTCACAAAATCTTACAGCAACCTTGAGAGAAAGCTTGAGATTCAGTTCAACCATCATTAAATGCAGAATCCCTTTCTTGGGTAATTTCCCATTCATAATCGTGTGAGGATTGCAGAACTGCCAGTTACTAGCTCTGGTTGTTTTTGTTGTTGTTTTGCAGTGCTGGGAGTCAAAACTCTTTTCATTTTGAGATGAATTCAATTTAGAACACAGAGCAGTGAATACAATGAAGCTTACTTCTGAAGTAAGACTAGCTGAGGTCATAAGATTACCTGTGCTAAAGATAATTACCCTTTAAATGCCTCTGTTTCCTCAAGCATCAATCTAGACAAATTATTATGGCCTCCTGCAATGGTTACAACGATTAAATCCATCAATCCATGTAAAACTCTCAAACCAATGCTGAACACATGGTGAACATAAAGACCCTTAGGTATTAGTACAGTCACTTTGTGGTTTTGATTTTTATATGCCACAAAAAACACGGTGGGCAAATTACAGAGATCGTTTTAAATATTCTCATTTAAAAATGTGTGCAGTTAAATCAGAGGTGGGAACAATGCCTACAGTAACATTCAAGGTGTGATTTTTTTAAATGTGTATTGGAGACTATCAACCTACATTATTGCCAAGGGTGGTCAATCTGAGCAGAGATGAACAGCTAAGGGGATGGACTTGGGAGACACTCTGAAGAAATGGTCTCTGGAGGAAGACATGATTGGAGTTATAATATTAGCTTTGTTCCCTTCTATTCCCTGTAACGGCACTGCATTGTGGGGATGTGCTCGGCTATGCCCTATTATTCTCTTGAAACATCCTCTTACTTCATTGCAGGGGTGTGAGCCGAAAGTAGCTACTTGACGCTTTGACAAAGATCTGCTGTTTGCTCATATTGGGATGGTTTTTTCTGCTGTCACTTCAATTGAGAATTTTCACTATTGACTTCTCTTAAGGGAACACAAAGAAAAAACCACTTGCTCCTCTTGAAGACGTTGCATTTCTTAACATGTATATACTGCTTATGCGCCATCTGCCCAGATTCCTTTCTCCAGGGGAAATATTTATAAAATTTGATAAAGATTTGTCTATACATGTCTGGAATATATATGGCAGTTTTGTCCTAAATTCCGATCTTAACTTTCATTAAAAATTGTAAAGACCTCACTTTTCATTCAGCTACAAACACCTTTGTGCCCTTACCTCTCAGGACTCTAACACATTGGGGTACTTTGGTGTATATGTTAATATATCAATGTAGAATGTACTATATTTTCAGAATGTTTCAATTTAAGGGCAGTTTTGGTTAGTGAAGTGTGCTAGCTCAATACTAAATAAATCACAGCTTTTGTTACAGAAGTATGCCAGCAACCAGCGCATGGAGGCTCCCTCCATGTCCACACCACCTTCCTGAAACCTGTACCCCCACTTCCACCCACACTAAAGGCTGCAGCAATTATGTTCTAAGGCTCAGATCTCAGTCCTTTTATTTCAGAAGTTCTCCAGCGCTCTCCACACTCTATAGCGACAGCCAGTGCCCTTACAGCCTCTCTCCTTCAGCTGTCCAGCCACCGCTCATCTCCAGCGTTGCTGGGAACCTGTGCTTTTCTGGTCCTGACTAAGTTCTCAAAGCTTGGTGGCTTCAGTAGACTGAGCATCCCTCTTTCTTACTGGATCTACTCTAGTGACCCTTCAAGGACTTTTCCGAGTAGCTTATTCAAATCTGAAGAGTTGATTTCCTCTGGGGCACTACAACTTTTGATTCACACTCCAGCTGGCTGTTGGACTCCTGTAGCAAAAACCAGTATACGTGACAACGCCGAGACAGAAGTCGTCACTGACTAAGCCCTCGTGTAGACCAATGAAAAGCTCAAACAAATAAATACGCATGGCTCTAGCTTATTTAGAATGCCTATGCATTAGCTGTTCTTGGGAAGGCTAAATACCTCAGGATTTTATTATGTTTTCTTAGGAATCTGATGAGTGCAAGTTGAAAATTAAAGGCACTCCAGTCTAGATGACTATTTGGTATCTAGGGTTCTACTCACACAATCTCCTTTCGGCTTCACTGAGGTTGACCTTCTTGGGCTCCCGTTACAGTCAAGGAAATATAGACTCTAAGTATGATGGTGGGCTCCTGAGCCCTGGGAGAGGATGCAGAGCACAGCATGACTGTCAGGAGCTTGGCTACCTGGGTTTAGATTCTGGTCGTACTTCTTTCCTGCTGGGATAACTACTACACTTTCCCATCCCTCACATTCTCTCATTGCGAAGTGATGGTAGAGCCCTCCTCTTTTCCTTTGTTTTATTTAAGAATAAAATAGACTGATTTACAGAGACACTCAGAACAGAGGATGGCACACAGCAGTAGGCACATGAGTGCCGGGCATCCTCATCATCTTCATCCTTGTCTTTCATGAAGGTTGAAGAGGTTGGAAGTGAATGGATTCAGATGTGGTTGGACTGAAAAGCTTCCCATGTGTATGTGTCAAAAGGCTCCTGCTTTTGTCCGTTTGTCTTGTGTATGCAGTGAAAAGGCCTCTTCAGTTTTCCCTCGGGGCTTCACACACTTACTTCACCAAGTTACTTTCATTTAAAATACATGGGTAGTATGCCACACACACTTCCTGGAGATGGAAGGCTCCAGAAACACCAAGGTGAGCAAAATGTGATGGCATTATTTCTGGGCATCTAACAAACCATGGATCCCACAATGAAAGTTGTGCAGGGAAGGAAGTATTTGCCCGCGTTTGCTCCGATCAGCTCTGCATGGCTGTGTGGTGAGGAACTGACCTGAGCATGCGTGCTCATGTAGAGTCTGTAACATAAGGGCTGAGGGGGAGTTTTGTAAAGTTGTAGGAGTTTATCTTCCTCCCCAGCACCCTTCCTCTGTTCCTCGGAAAAGCATGGGCCCCACATTACTCAGGAAGAGCAAAGGAGAGGTGAGAGGCAGATAAGAAAGGTGTTATGTTTGGCATGACTGGTTTAAGGTTAAGTTTGGGCCTAAATAGCCATTTAGGGTGATTTTTAAAAATATATACTTTAGGTATGTTTTGCTGTATCTGCATCTCCATATTCTCCTAATTAAGCAAGAGACTGACTCTTTTAATCTAGTTACATTTAATTAAATTTAACATTTTTTCTCCTGACCTTGAACTATGGCATCATTCTGGGATCTTTGGAGCCTAAGACAAGGTCAGGTTCCTCAAGAGACTGGAAGTTTTGCCTAGAAGACAGCCCAGTGCAAAACCATGCTCTTCTGCCTTCCACAGTGGGAACAGCCATGGAGAACCATGAGTGCACACGAGCAGGAGACATGGTCCATGGGGGTGTCTGGAGTCAGTGGTGTCTGGGGGAGCAGTTGGTGGGAAAGTACCTCTGAAGAGAAAGCGGGAAATTCGCACATGGAAAAGGAAGAGCCAAACACACCAAACAAAGTGTGGACCACGAGCTCAAGCTTGCGGAGGAATCAAACAGAGTTTATCTGGTGGGCTGCTTTGAAAACAGAGGCTTGAAAGAGCCTGGAACTCAGTAGACAAGGAAAGTCACATGGGCAGTGTGCTAGTGAGTTTTTGGTCAACTTGACACAGACTAGAGTCATTTTTGAAGAGAGACTCCAAATTGAGAAAATGCTTCCACGTATTGGCCTGTGTGCAAGCCTGTGTCCATGTTCATGACTGATGTGAAAGACGAGAGGGCCCAGCTCACTGTGGGCTGTGCCACCCTGGGCTGGTGGTCCTGGGTGCTATAAGAAAGCAGGCTGAGCAAGCCATGAGGAGGAAGCCAATAAACATCCCTGTTCCAGGGCCTCCGCTTCAGCTCCTGCCTCCAGGTTCCTGCCTTGTTTAGTGTCTGCCCTGCCTTTCTTCGGTGATAGACTGTGATCAGGAGTGTGAGGTGGAATAAGCACTCTTCTCCTCAAATTACTCTCAGTCGAGGTATTTGTCAGTGCTCGAAACTCTAAGGCAGGGACATAGGCCATAAGTGACCAGGTTTAAATAAGCAAGTTATCTCCAGAAAGACAAACTCATTAATCATTAAATTTCATCTTTATTATGTAAGCCACCTCTCTAGTCTTTTCTAGCCAGGATTCACAGAGAGAACTTTGTGGGAGATTTCTAGATCTGTGAAGATCCTGATCCTACAAGTAATTCAATGTAAATGGCTCCACTATCCAGCCAGAAGCATGAACCAGAGACTGGAGAGGAACTCGTGCCAATTCTTCCTTTCCCACACCCGTTTCTTTGTGAGAGTCTCCCAGTTCTCCACTGAAAATCCTTCACCTTCCTTTTATCTCGAGTTCCAGCACTTTAAATCGAGGCCCCCAGATGCAGGGCTCTTTCAGATTCTCTTTGAATCAGTAGTCCCCG